ACCGGGTCTGCTTTAAATCCATCAAGTTGGTCCAAATAACTGAAAATCTCAGTAACACTCTAAAGCCCTTTCCTCTCGAAGTAGGCCCCAGGTCCCCTTGGGGAGGGGGTTGGGCCCTCTTCCCTCCACACTGCCAAAGGGTGGAGCAAAGCTAGCTCTGTTAGAGGTATAAAGAGAGCAATTGGATGGATTTTCAAGCTCTTGTTGGGCTGCAACAATTCAGGGCCCACTCCAGTGAAACAGGTGCCCTGTGGCCCCTAGGTAGGGTATGCAGGTTCACACCCAGGATGTGTTCCCGTCAAAGCCAAGAATTTTCTGACAGACCTAGGCTTACTAGAGCTGTCCTACAGAGTGAAGGGGACAGAAGAGATGTGTGGAGGTGGGTCTGCCTTTCCCTGTGAATGTGGGGCTACTACTCCCTATGGGCCCCAAGTTCAGGGATAACTGCCCCTAAGAAAGGAACTCCAAGAAGCGCTTTGCCAGGAGGCTGGCACTAGAGCTTTATTATTGTTTAATAATTGCTTTAGATTTCTTGTTGGTTAGTTATGATCTGTGCCATTCCTAATACCGTACTTGTGTCATTGAAACAGGGAAGCTGGGACAGACAACACATGCCCTCTGTCAAAGCTACTTCACTCTGTAATAAATCTGATCCTCATGGTCTATATGGGATTTGTGCTTGGCGTGGATTGGAATTCTTGGTTCAATAAACCTTAGAGGGTTTATTAACTGTTCGTGTTTTTGTCCTAGTGGTCATGATGCTGGTTCTTTGCATCTATCTGGGACCCAAATGCTTCTGAACAGCCACTTTCTTGTCAGGTGATCAACATGATGATACAACAGGAAGGTAAGGGAAAATCAAGTCCAAACAACCATGGCATATTACCTCACATTTGTTAGAATGACTCTTATTTTAAAAAAAAGACAATCAACAGGGACTTCCCTGGTGGTCCAGTGGTTAAGACTCCATGCTTCCAGAATACAAGGGATATGAGATTGGTCACCGGTCTGGGAATTAAGATTCCACATACTCCCTTAGCATGACCAAATAAATAAACATTGAAAGTAAATAAATATAATCCACTCATTAAAAAAAAATACCTCACAATATAGTTAGCCATGGAGATGACTGAACAATCAGCCTCTAAGCGGTGAAGGCCTGAATTTCTAAAGTTCCTTGTATTCATCAACTTTCAAGCAAAAAAATGACCAAAAGAGAGGAACTGAGAGACTGAATATGCAAACAGACAACGGCCAGCCCATGAATAACCAAAGAACTGGAGTTCCCGTAACCTCTGCAGTCACCAGTCCAAAATGGTCAGGATTTGGTCAATGACTGCCAGCTTCCCTGTTTTATTTTGCCCCAACTTCCAACTTGAAACCGCCCAAAGAAAGCCAAATATATTCTCCAAGTGAATCACCTAAGATGCTGTTTCTAGTTACTTTAGTGCCTTCAGCCTCCTCATGCCAATAGCCTCCACAGTATACCTGAAGCCTCCCCCACTATTTTTTTTTCCTGTAAAGCTCTCTTGCTCCTCTGCCTGCCTTTGAGTCTCTGCCATAAGCAAGAAGATGGTGGCCTCTTCCTTTGCAATAGCCAAGTGCAGAATAAATAAACCCTGCATGTGCTCTTTTGGGTGTCTTATTTCTACAAAGCTATATAGATGATTCAGCTCGCTTAAAAAGTACACTTTCCTGGGAATTCCATGGTGGTCCAGTGGTTATGACTCCATGCTTCTATTGCAGGGGGCATGGGTTCAATCCCTGGTTGGGGAACTAAGATCCTGCAAGCTACAACAGCGCAGACAAAAAAAAATTCTATTTTTTGCCATAACACTTCTTTTAATTTCTTTCAATGACTGTCCTTTGAGAAACCGCAATCTTTCCCTCTTCTGTGTCATTCCTGACATTAAAAATTGTTTCCTATGGGCACTTTCCTGTTGGTCCAGTGGCTAAGACTACACGCTAAATAAACACATACATATATATATATATATATATATATATTTGTTTCCTGTAATCTTCTTTATTAATATGTTCATGAAGTCCTCCAACCGCTTTACCCTGGAGTTCTGAAAAATCCAAGAACTTTGGCTTCTCATGTCCGTAGCCAAGTCTCAAGGAAAATTTTCAATTTTTAAAATTGAAGTTTAAAAAAATTTTTTTTAAAGTTTAAAAATTTTTTTAAAGTTTTAAAAATTTCAAGTTTAAAAATCTTTTTTAAAACTCCCAGAAAAAAAAGGTACAAAACATGGAGTAAGTCACTTGCTCTTGTTGAAAGGAGCTCCTAAGGGCAGAGGCTGTGACAAGGCATATATGGGCTCCCTGAAGTCCTTCAAAGTCCTTTGCCTCCGGTAGCAAGAGGCAGCCTTATGTTCTTTTTTTCTGGGCTATGTGTGTGCAGTCTCTCAGTCGTGTCCAACTCTCTGCGCCCCCATGGACTGTAGCCCGCCAGGCTCCTCTGTCCATGGGATTTCCCAGGCAAGAATACTGGAGACCCAACCCAGGGATCGAACCAGTCTCTTGCGCCTTCTGCATTGGCAGGCGGATTCTTTTCCACTGTGCCACCTGGGGCTAGACCCTTCCCAACCCACAAGAATGACTTTCCTCTATGGGAAAATGAAAAGTGTAGAAAAAGACTGGACCACAGGTGAAAACCAAGTGCAGCCTGAAAGAGTACCATTGACAAAACTGACATCAATAAAAATAGGGATATAAAAAATGAACTTTGCATTTTTATTCAAAAAACTGATGGTCTGCATGATAAATACAGTCTGTGTCTGAAGCATCAAAAATTTTTTTCTTGAAAAATGATTTTTTCCCTCTTAGTTTTAGAATGCACTTATCTCACCTCCCCACACCAATTTTGAACTTGAACTGCGCAGTGTCATCTGAAAGGATGCAGGATCATGGTCTCTCCTGGGGTGATACAGAAGTCCTGTGGTCACACTGATTGGTGGTCTCTGGTCGCGGCTCCCTCCACGTGCATGGCCCAGTTGCTGCGACACTGATGTCCCTGAAGCTGACACAGCGAGACAGCCTCCCGGTCACAGCCCCCCTGAGAGATCGCCATTCGTCAGGTCCTGTGACTTAGCACATTCCAGAAACATCTGAAAAAATATCTTGTCACGTGACACAGCAATTGAAATCTGAGTTGCACAGATTAACGGATTTCTTTCAAGCATTCACATACGTGCCTCTTTAATTCCGGGAGTGACGCTTATCCTCCCAGCTGTTAGTTAACACAGCCACCCAGCCAGCCTCTTCTGCAGGCACAGCACCATACTCCACAGTGAAAAACTCTCTACATACAGGTTCTGGTTTCTCCTGATCTCAGCCAAGAATTATTCATGTGAATCCCAACTCCCTAAAGATGTGGGAAACTCTACAAAGTTCTTTTAATTATTAAAAAAAAAAAAACTTTGGCTGTGCTGGGTGGCATGTGGGGGATCTTAGTTCCCTGAACAGGGATCGACCTCATGACCCCTGCTGTGGAAGCACAGAGTCTTAACCACCAGACTGCCAGGGAAGTTCCTATAAAGTTCTGGTGAGCCTGCCAAGGTTGTTGCTGTGGAGAAGGGATGGAGTGGGGCAGGCAACCTGAGTAGATGGTGCTTTCTGGATGTATAGGCCCACCCAGAGGGTAAGCGCCACGTGCAAATTCACGTGGAAGGGAGGGTGTGCCCCCACTGTGGCACATGCCATTCAGAGCCACTCTTACTGTATCTTTCCAGGAATACAGATTTCTTCTGCACTTTCTAGAATCACCCTAAATACCACCATCCAAATACCCCACATATAAACATGCTCAAAGGAGAAGAGGGGAATATCCACTCCTCTGCCTGGAAAAATGCTCTGTTTCTAGTGGGGGAAACTCTGCTTTCCCTTTTATGTTAAGTGTTTGTCCAAGACATGTTCTCAGACATTATATTCAAATACCTGCTCAGTTGCTCAGTCGTGTGTCTGTGGCTCAGTTATGATGCCATGGACTAGCCCACCGGGCTCCTCTGTCCATGGAATTTTCCAGGCAAGAATACTGAAACAGGTAACCATTCCCTCCTCCAGTATTCAACTACATTTCTAGCCAAATAAGCTGACCTTGTGGCTAAGCAATCCTGTGTGGAGCTTGGTGGAGAATGTGCCTTTTCAGAAAAATAAACCACACATACACACACACACTACTAACGGAAGGTTTCTCCTCTTGAAAAAGGAGTTTTTCATATTTTAGTATTAGCTTTTTTCAACACGGGTTTCTAAACATTCAGAGGCAAACAACTGAGTCTAGAAATTACCTTCATTTCCCATCCCTGAGGTCTGGACTGAGGAGGCGCTAAGGGCCAGGAGCTGGAGCACTATGGGCCTGGGGCAGCCCCTGGGCGACTTACACACCTGACTGTGTGTACACGTGTGCACCCAAGGCCCTCAGTATCCAGTGCACAGTGTAACCACAAATCAGACTTATGTTGCTAATAACGTGTTTCCCTACTGACCCACCACCTGCTCCTTGCCAGATTTCTTAGGAGCTCATAGCATCCCTGCATAACCCAGCAGGAAGTCATAGAAGCATTTAGTATTTTAGATTTCATAGTGGTTCAGAGCAAAGTATTTCCTCCAATGGACCTTCAGTCATGACAGTGCATTTTACAGTGTCTCTCACAACTGTCCAACTCCAGCTTCAAGAACCAAACAGCAAATTACTCGACAAGAGCAAATACCTGAACTCAACACTGGTTGCTGCTCTGTTTTAGGGAAGGAATCCTTTGAGTGGCAGAACAAGCTTACTTTCACAGTTACTATAAATGTGGCTGTTCATGTACATATTATACAAGACAAGTCAATAACATCACCAGGAGCCCCCACGGTCCTTTGATCAGTCTCACTTCCCCAGTGGTCACAATAGATCCCCCTGTGATATCTTACTCCTTATATGGAAACTTTAAAATCAGAAACGTAATGTTTCCAACCAGAAGGTTAAAAAGAGAAAAGAAGTTTACGCATTGTATGATACATGATTTTATTTATATAACTGAAATGATTTTCTTAGTCACCTTGACTACAAAAGCAAATTGACACAGTATGATTTAATAACCTTTCATAAACAGATTTAACAAATTTTAAAACAGATTGTTACTTAATACTCAGTAATACTTAAATACTTAGTAACTTCTGTGTATATGCATATGAAAATTGTCTGATAAGACTAACAAGTATGAGTACCTGGATAACTCAGGAACAGACAATTAGGTTATGAGTCAAGGGTTAACTCCCCACCACTGGGTCAGCCAGTTAGACTTGGAGTTCTCCCCCTGCTGAGGACAAATCTGCTACAGCCTCTCACACTGAGTAGGCATTTTTAATAACTTGAGAAAGTTTCTCCCTACTTCTGCATTTAATAAGACTATCATCAAGTACATCTGAAACCCACAAGTTTACTACCATGACTAGATATCTGTAAAAGAACTTATCACAGTGCGTCTGAACAACGGCCCCAACTAAAGCCGTGTTGCATCTGCAGTGAAGTGTTTTTCCAGCGCTCTCCCTGGGTGTGTACACACACACGTGCGTGCACACACAGATGCACAGGCGCATGCGCACGCGCGCACACACACACACACACCACACACACACACAGCTCCTCCACAAAACTCATCCAAGCCTTCTTGGCCACAAAAATGCCATAATTTTTACCACTTTACCACTTTGGTGAAATGGCTATAACATCCAGCATTCTCATGAGACATCGTTAAGTTCTTTCACAGTGCTTTAAGTCTGAAGACCAGGCAGTGTTTTGGTAACTGACCCTCCCCTGCAAAGTGACAGCATTGGGACAGAAAGAAGAGCCACGAGGACTTCCTGAAAGCCACCCCCACAGGATGGGAGGAGTGCTGAGTGTCCGTGACCACAAACAAGCAGTGAAGAATGACAAGAAGCTCATGAGTCACGGTCAGAACCTAAGAACAAAAATGTCTTGCCATAGCAGCATTATGTTACAAACACAAGAAGAGTGGACACATGTACCTTTTCACACAAGCTCTGTAAGAGCCAAAACCCTGTCATTTCCCCATCAGAACTGTCATCAGAGGTGTCACAGTCCTTGGTCATTTGTCGACACTACTTCTAACCTAACTAGCTGAGACTGAGCACAAGTACCAACCACGAACGTGTGAGATGAGCCCCTGCCACTTTGGGGCACTGGATGGGTGGGTACTGAAGGCTGTGCTGGGGTAGGCTGGGGAGTTCACGGCAGCCAAGTCTCTGTGGTCAGCAATACTTGGATATGAGTCCACTCCACTCCAAGGCCCCCTCCTCCATACACTTCTCATCACAGGGGTGTGATCTCTCAGCCAGGTGGACAGATGTATCCTAGAAGCCCCCTCCCCTCACACTGCATACCTACATACCAAATGTGGCATCACATCTCTCCATTGTGCTAAACCTAAGGATCATTTTAATCATAATAAGAATCAAATGTCTTCCTAAGAAAAGGTTACATGATTAAAAAAAACAAAACAGGATATTGAAGGTTGCAGCGAGGCCTGTCCAGAAGTCCCCTCTTCCCCTCCAGCCTTGGTCGGGCTTTGACATCCCTATGCGGCCTGGCCGGGCTCTTGTTTTGAACAAGGACATGTTTAAATCATGTGACCTTGTTTGGAGGCAACCAGAAAAAAATCAAACAGTTCAGGTAGTGAGTGAGGGACCCATACGTGTGAGCGCGGAGTGCGTGGTGCTCATGGATGCACCGGTTGGGTGCTGTGGAGGGCTGAAGAAGGAGGAACACCTACACCGTCCAGCGTGCTACATCTGCTGGGTGGCAAGACTGCCAGCCAGTGTGAAATGTGCAAATAGGGGCCGGCAGACCTTCTGTTCTCAGCATGTTTCTTCCCCTCGCAAGTCCATTACTTTTCACAAAGCAATGTTAACTATCAAACGCGTCCATTAATTGTGCCGCTGAAGGTGAAACTATCCAGTTAGCATATACACTATCATTTGCATATCTCGGACACCCAATGTTGGTGCCAGCGGCTCTCGTGAGTGGTACAGGACTCTCTTCAGGCTAGTTCAGGTTTGACATGCCTAAAAATAAAAACAGGTCATTTGTTCTGTGCTGAAGAACTCAAACTTCATGTCCAGACAGTAAGGCCTTGGCAAAACTCCCTTTGAGGTTCAAACCAAACTTCTGGTTTCTGGGCCAACTGCCTGCAGGGTTTCATGCTTCAGGTTTCCAAAACATGTTTGGGAGAAGGGGGGAATATCACATGTTCTCTTGGTAACTGTAGCTTACCAGAAACTACCAATTTTGACTTTTATAAGCTTCGGACTCTCAAATCTGATCAATCTCTGGTGACCTGTTTAACTCTTTTGTGTCAGGCAGCATAACGCATCAGCACCTTGCTGTACTTACTGCCTGGCTTACTGAAGCAGGAAGCTTCTATATAAAGTGCTCTAACGTAAAGGAGCCTACTTGTCTTCCATTCCAGGCTACTATGGAGGAGAGGATCTTTCCAAATCAAGGGTGCACGCAGCTCGGTCCCACAGCATCGACGGGACAAATGGCAAGGAACACTAGCCAGCAAGGAATCAATGACCCAGGAGGCATGCGAAAGGAACAACCTCAGCTGAAAAAGGCTTGAGACTCCAAGATTTCAAAACACTCCATGATGAAGTTAGGAAACAGGAAAAAAAATTCAAGTATTGAAGATAGAAGAAGGAGTTTTGGCAAGAACCATATTTACTGTCCATTGCAAGACCACAGCACCACAGACTACGTTCTTTCAAAAAGCATTTTGCTCCAGCTTTTAGCACTGACTTCATAAGTGACAACTGTCATGACAGTGTGTGATACAAAAGATGTGAAAACAATAGTCTGTGTGTGTCCCTCCCGCCAATGCTGGTCCCTAGCACTGGGTGGCCTCCAAGCCTCCCCCCGACCCCCACTCACCCAGACAGAGCCTGGGGGGCTGCTAGCTGTGTTCTAAGTGCAAGCAGGGTAGTGCTGGTTCCGCCTTTCTAGATTAAATGCCTCCCCAGGTCAGGAAAATGTACCCCAGTAGTTAAAATTAGAAGTATTATGACTAAATCCCCACCCGGGAAATGACTGAGTCATCATTTCTCAATATCCCCTGAGAGTTCTGCCTCGCCCTCTCCTCTATCATCTTAAGCTGCTGGGCAATGTGATCATCACACATATTTTCACATCCTTTAAAAAAAACATAGTTTAAAAAAAAATGCCTGAATGTAAATGGATGCAAAGTCAGACATTTACAAACAAAAAGGTTCAGAGCAGACTTTGGTTTCATTCAAACCAGAAACATTCTTAAAAAGCATTACAGAGAGTAAGGACAGTGCAGAGAGCAGGAACAACGTGGCTAGAATCTAGTAAATGCATGTGAAATTCTACCATAGAGTTTGTTTTCAATCCACATGGAGGGGAGGGTGCGAGGGAGGGGAGCATTATTACAGTCCCCCAGGGGTGTCTCCTCCTCCGACAGGCCGTCGTCATACAGCAGGGAGTCGGATGGGGTGGACGCGGCCAGGTCCAAGTAATCCTGGAAGGGAGAGAGACCTGGTCACTCCTGGAGCAGGCCACTGCTGGACATGCCCACCTGCCCCCGCCCCCGCGCTGCCTGAGAGCAGAAGGCCCAGCCGAGTCCCACCCCGCACCTATCAACCTCTCGCCAGATCTGAGCCCCTGGCCAGGGCTGTCAGCATGAGTTCCCCCACCCTCTGTCCTCATCACGGAAAATCACCTCTTGGAGGCAGAAATGTGATCCCTCATTGTTCTGGTCCTCTCTCTGCAGTGCTGGGGCACCAGGCCCAGCACTGGAGAACAGGCCTGTTATAAAACCTGAGGCTCTGGGATTGCAGTCCCATGACTCATGTGGGAAGGCCAAGACACATTCCCCATCTGCTCCACACTTTCCGGCTTCCCTCCAGGCACTCCTGCCATCTCCAATATCAAGTCAGGATCAAGAAATCTGAGTCATCGGTGTGGGTTTTGCATAAGATGCTGCTAGAGGCTTCAGCTCCCAAGCAGGATGATTTGTGAGGACTGGCTACTTACACTGCCCTGGTTAAAGGTGTCAAGAATGTTTGCAGTGTGTTTCTGGCTGGTTCTCAGCACTGTTCTAGGAAAGCTGTCTGTAGGCATCAGCTATTACCTCTGTTTAGGGCAAATCATAGGATTTGCCCAAACGATACACCGAGGCTGGGTTTTATTCCAAGGGGCCCAGTCCATGCATCTTGCCTTCCATGTTTGGAGAAATGACAACTTTCAGTAACTGTGTCAATTTAAGGATGAAACCACCAGAGGGCAAACAAGGTCTGTGTCTATTTTCTTTACTTGCATCCCCAGCATCTAAGGCAGAATACAGGAGGCAGCCCATTGCCCAATCAATATTAGTGGAAACTGTGTTGATTTCCTCTATCACCTAGAGTTGTAAACTGGAGGCACACAGATATGTTGTTTGGCCCACACTGAGCTTTTGGAAATTGCTATAAAAACTGGGAAACATAAACATCCCTTAAAAAGCCCTGGCATGCTGGCACTCTTATTCCTACAGGTTACGCTGTCTATGTTAAGAGGTCCTTCAGAGGCAGCTGGTAGGCTACTATTTGTCACAGTTTCCACTGCTCCCTTCACTTCCCACCCCTAGCCGGACCCTTCGTAGAATCTGAATTTAGGACACATTCATTCTAACTTTACTTCCTCAAGTTCCATTATTGAAAATAATTTTGTTTTGCTTTTGCATATCTTCTTCCCACCCCTGTCTGTGGAGGGCTCTTCCTAAGTGTCAAGGTAAAAATCCTGGTTCCTTGCTAATTTCAAGAAGTCCAAGAGGCCTGGATTAAGGATAAAGGTTCGTGCCCACCCACCCCCCACATCTGCCCTGCCCCCTACCAGGAGACGACATGACCATCTCACTCTGCACAGCTGCACTCTGCTTTTGTATTGGGAATTCCATGAACTGGGGTGAGGGAGGTGGCACCAGGGATTGGCTCCGGGTACTCACTCTGCTCTTAACCACCATCTTATCTAGGTCTTTGCTGATGTCGGCAAACACTGGCCTCTTGTCTGGTTCCTGCTTCCAGCACTGCAGCATTAGACTGTACCTGGTGAGACAAACAGGTGGGTGGTGACAATCCATCAAGGATTGCCCAGTCACAACCACCACACCCAGTACAGTGGGCCTGGGCCCCAGAGGCTCTGGTCTAAAACCCCAAAGCTGTTCCTGTGTCACTGGCATCCTTCTCTGAGTTGGGCCAGAGTATGATGGGTCAGCAGGGGCTCACAGTGTCTGGCGCTGTGGTCCAGCCATGCTGGTTATGGTAGCTAACGCAGAAATGCCAGTCCTTAAAACTCTTATGAAGGATGAACTGTGTATGAACACAAAAACCTGCTAAGCACACTCTGTCTTGCCCCTCCCTCCCTCCCTCCCCTGGGCTCTGGCAGGGCTGCAGGGCCACCTTGTGGGTGAGTGCTGGGCCTGTGCCTGCCAGTCTAGGGTGCCCAGGGAGGCAGCACCTACTCACCCTGGCACTCCCACAGCCCCGAGCCAGGCACATGGCAGGTGCATGACAGACTTTGTAGAATGAATGGACCAGTGTGTGTCTAACTATGGACGACCCCCCTCTCATGTGTTCTCAACCTGTTCTCCAAGGATCATCTGACGGAACCACCATTTGATGAGAAGATTCTGGTGCCTCGAGCTGAAGTCCAGGTGCCATCTGCCTGCTCTTTGCCTGCCTTGGTGTCTCCACTTGGGCGCTCCCCTGTATGTACCCCTGGGGCCATTCTGAATTACCTGCCCCTCCCCAAGCATCCTGGGACAGGTCTCTAGCCTTAGACTGAAGCTGCTCCCTCAGTCTGAAGCACGCCCTCATCCTTCCACCACCTCTCCTGGGGTCCTGCTCCCACTCAGCTTGTAAGTCCCCCCAGGAGGCCCACCCAGCCCCCAGTGGAATCTGGGTCCCCAGCATCTGCCATCATGCCCAAGGGTGGTTCTCTGTCATCTGTGCCTTTGTCTTAGCCCATCGCTTCCAGCTGCCCAGCTCACCTGGGGCTGGCACCCAGGGTTGCCCAGCAGAGGGAAAGGATGAGTGTGCATGACCCCACCCCTCCAAAGTCTGGAGTGTCAGTGTCTGGGGAGGCTGGACCAGAGAAAGCATGCTCACATCTCCTCGCTGCAGTTGTCTGGTCTCTCCATCCGGTAGCCTGTCTTCAGAAGGTTGAAGAGCCGCTCTGGAGGAATCCCAGGGTAGGGGTTGCCGCCCAGGGTCACAATCTCCCACAGCAGGACACCAAAGGACCACCTGCAGAACCAGAGGGCCAATGAGCGACTGCACTGGGTCTGTGGCATCCTCAGCCCCCCAGATATCCTCCCCCTGAGCAGCAACAGGACCCGAGTTCCCCGTACAGAGAGTGGTCCAAGTGCCCACAGTTTCAGCCTAGGCTGACCAGACAGATGGAAGTGGAATGGAGGCAGGACCAGGTGTCTGCCTGCCCTGCCCCAACCCCCCGGCAAGCTGCTGCCCAAGCTCAGCCCCCATACCCAAAAGGGGCAGGTGGCTGACCCCTGAGGTGAAGCTCTGTAACATCAGAGACGGCACAGGGAATGCAAATGAGCACAGTGAAAAGCAGGTCGAACTGAGGCCACAGGGCACCAGGGGCACTCTGCAAAACCTCTTCACCTTTTCTGTGTGCTTGGAAATTTTCATAAGAATTTAAAAGGAAAAAACACTGCAATGGGAAATTATCAGCTGTGAGGGAAAATTTACTGTCAAGTGGGGACAAAATCATCACAAAACAGCATTATCACACAAGCCCGTTTACAGTAATAAAGAATGCCTGCATGCCACGGACAACTCTAGGCAAGGCCTGTGAGCGCTGGCCCTAGTTATTTAGGGATGGTGGGGCCCCATTAACTTTTAGTCCCTTTGTTATGCTTTCCCCTGCATTTCCAGTTGTTTTACAGTCAACTTGGTAATCAGAAAACAGTTGTTAAAACTGTTTAAGTATTGCCTTTTCACAGCCTACCTTATTCAAAACATGCAAGGCTGTTTACAGCAGAACATTTGGAAACAAGTCTGTTGTGGTTTTGAAAACAATTGAGAATGTAGTTGGACTTGGAAGACTGAGTTTTGGTCTTGGAGCAGTTTGGGTACCGGAAACCCACTCAAGGTCACTCCACCCTAAACCTGTCTCTGGGTGGGGACCAGTTGCTGGGGACCTGCTTGAAGCCTGCTCACACTCAGGCTCACAGAGAGGGAACTGTTCAGCTGGGACTGTGTGTCACTGAGATGTCCAAAGAGAGGGCAGGGGAGGTGGGGGAGGCAAGGGGGCCGCAGCTATGGCTCACATCCCCATGCATTCCACCGTGGCACTCAGAACTACTGCCTGGGCCTTTGCCATTTGCGGTGTGAGTACACAAAGCTCCCCGAGAGGGAACTGTTCAGCTGGGACTGTGAGTCACTGAGATGTCCAAAGAGAGGGCAGGGGAGGTGGGGAGGCAAGGGGGGCCGCAGCTATGGCTCACATCCTCATGCATTCCACCGTGGTACTCAGAACTACTGTCTGGGCCTTTGCCATTTGCTGTGTGAGTACACAAAGCTCCCCCATCCGCAGCCCCCTCAGTTTGGGGAGGTCACTCTGGACGGTTGGAATGAGCTGACAGGGACTCAGGGCAACTCTGTTCCCCAGCAGAGCTGCCCAGACAGGTGCATACGTGTAACCTCCACCCCAGGAAGGCAACACCCAGACTCACACATCACTCTGGGTGGTGTAGATATGATCAAAGAGGGACTCAATGGCCATCCACTTGACTGGGATTCGACCCTAAGGAAGGAGTGAAAGAAAGGCATTAACGTTGCTCTGAGATCCTAGGAACTGGTGTGTGGGGGGGACCCATCTCAGGCTCTTTCAGCTCTTAGGGAACACTGAGTAATGACTCCAGTGTGTTCCTGGGTACAGGCCAGCAGCACAGCCTCACAGGGGCTGGAGTCCCAGCCCCGCCTTCCTAGGCTTGGCTGAGACACCTGAGGGAGTCAGTCGCCTGCCCACAGCTATACAAGGTGTGCTGGTCACACATCACATCCGAAAGAATTGATCCTAAGTGCAAGCCAGGCCCCACTGTGGTCACTTCTGGGGAGATCAGGGGCACCCTGGGTGCTGCCCAGTGGGTAGGCTGGAAGCATGGAGATCCATCAAGATCTCCCCTGATTTCTGAGGGTGAAGGGGTTTGGGAAGCCAACATCCAGTGTTTCCATCTTGGGAATTTCTGACACAAAAGAACACACTAAAGGCCTTTCTAAGAAGCTCTGAGCGAAGAAATCAATGTGAGTGTCTTGAGTCTGATTTTTCCCTCTTATTTTATCCCAGGGCCCTTTTAGCATCCTCTGAAAGACTGTCCTCCACCATGGAGAGGCCGGAGTTCAACCTAACAAATCCTTTCTAATGCAACTTAAGAAATAGCTTTTTGGTACAAATAGATCAGCGGGCTTTCCTGGTGGCTCAGTGGTAAAGAATCCACCTGCAGTGCAGGAGATTCGGGTTTGATCCATGGGTCAGGAAGATACCCTGGAGGAGGAAATGGCAACCCACTCCAGTATTCTTGCCTGGGGAATTCCATGGACAGAGGATCCTGCTGGGCTACAGTCCATGGGTTGCAAAGAGTCAGACATGACTGATTGATTAAACAACAAATAGGTCAGTGTCAAGGCACAATCAATTTTTAACAAGGCATTTGCTTTGGATTTTAATGCATTTATTGTACTTTTTTTTTTTTTAAGTACTTTTTAGGATTCATACCCTACATGAAGTGTGACTGCTTCGAGGGTGTGTGTTTCTAACAATGCCACCTGCAGGCTGTGCTCTCAGGGGCCAAGCTTGGGCACCTTGTGCTTCCTTGCTGGGTGACACAGGGCCTTCCCGAGGACCAGTGCATCAACAGGAAGTTCCATCCACCCCCCTCCACGGGGTAGGGAGCACCACTCTCCACTTCCCCTTCAGCACTTCTAAGACATGCTGTCACAACGGAAACCCCACGAGGAATCAAATGTCATCCTCACAGCCCCAGGAGCACCTGGGCTTCACTCGCCCCTCAGAGTAAAGCTGAAGTGTATGTCGTGGCTTTCTGTGTTTTTCTTTTTGAGCAGCATCTGTTCTGAATGCCAGCTTAGCTGTGTGTCTTGGGACCTGTGATCTTCCCTGTCTAGTCTGTCACAGGGAGGCTACTAGAAAGGGGTTGAGAGGATAACAGCACCAAGAAAGTCAAGACCAATGTCACAGGGAAGGGGACCATACCAGGGAACCAGGTTTCCCAAGAAGGTCCCCGAACCACCTGTTTCAGTGACTTGGAAAAACCTTCCCAAATCTCTACACTGCGACTCTGGACTTTGTCTCCAGGATCCTCCTGATCGCCTTCCAAACTCACTTAGTCAGCGGTTCCTAGGCCCTTGGACCAGGAGCATACCCTGCTGTAAAGTGGTTCAATCCTTTCTGTAAAGAATGACTAGCAAGCTTGGGTTTAATTCATTTCTTTTCCCCAAGCAAAGGACTAAAGTTACACAGAAAGTAAAACAGTGACCTTCACTCTGCAGCAGTGAGAGGAACAACTGCAGACAAGAATATTGTTATTTCTGTAGTGGTGGGTGACCTTTAGAAGTGACAGTGCTGAAAAGTGAGAGAGGCTGCAGGAACCCCACTCCCAGCAGGGAGCTCCAAAGCAGCACGTGTGGCTGTGAGGAAGAGAAGGAACAGGCTCAGGACTGAGCCCTGCTCCGGGTCTCTGGGGACCCAGGACTAGGACAGCGTTTGGGGATGAGGACTGGAAGTTCACACTCTAAGAACCCGCTTTATCTCCCTCAGATCAAAGCCTGTCCCCACCTGTGGGCTCCATGACCATGCCCTCTGCCCTCAGGCCGTCGCACCCCAGAGCCTGGTACCTCGCTCCTCTTCACGTAGGAATCCTCTTCATAAACATCTCGGGACAGACCAAAATCCGAGATCTTCATCCTGCGGCCCTCGGCTACCAGGACGTTTCTGGCTGCCAAATCCCGATGGACGAGCTGTGGAAAAGACAGCAGCAGGGACCCCTGAAACCCGGGCCCACCGCTGGCGGAAGGGGCGCGGGGCTGGGGCGGCACGCACCTTCATCTCAGCCAGGTACTGCATCCCTTGTGAGACCTGCCAGGCAAAGGAGATGAGGTCGCCCATGGTCAGGGCCCGCTCCTCCAGGTTGTCCAGGTAACTGGAGTTGCGGCTGCCCTCGCTGCCCACGTAGCCAGGTCCCGCCTTGCGGCTCTCTCGAAGGAAGCCCCGCAGGGAGCCGTACTTGGCATACTCCACGATGAGGAGCAGTGGCCCTGGGGGCAGAGCAGTAGGTACGTGGGCTGGCTGTTTAGGTGACCCTGGGCAGGCAGAAGTTGGGCCAGCACGGGGCAATCGCTTCCAGCAGCCGGAGGACTCAAGCCTCAGCTCACTCTCACATCACTCTGCTCTCCACCTTGCAGCGCTATGTTACTTCAGTCATGTCTGACTCTTTGTGACCCTATAGACTGTAGCCCGCCAAGCTCCTGCACACACACACACACACACACACACACAAAGTGGGAGGCCCCCAGGTGGCAAAGCAGTTTTGGAAGACCAATAGAGCAAAATGCTCTTATGGGAAAAACGGTGATGCTGCCACTGCCTTTGCCACCCCAGGCTGGGGTGGGGTTGGGATCACCTGGAGGTTATGGCATATCTAGTTCCCAGTAGGTGCCCAGGAGATACTGCTCATCTCTGGACTTCCCTGTCTTAAGGGCTCGGCCTGGGGCAGGGTGCTGACAACCAGGATGTCACCAGAGACCCCAGGGAACACTCCTGTGGCACCCCTCATGGTCCACTAACACACAAGTTTCAGGCAAGGGCCAGAGAGATCATGCTTCCAGGAAGAGAGAGGACAGGGGCCAGAGAAGAAAAGGATGGGGATGAGGGAGAATGCAGAATGGAGCATCCCAGAGCCCCTGGCTTGTGCCCGGCAGCTGCTAGTCCTCGGCCGGTCTTACCATCCTGGCTGCAGGCCCCGTACAGCTTGATGACTTGCGGGTGGTTGACCTGCTTCAGGAGGTTGAACTCTGATAGCAGGTCCCGCAGCTCACTTGGGGAGGCATTCTCTGAAATGCACAGAAACAAAGCAGGTCACAAAGTCCCTGCTACCACCGTGCTGGGTCACAGACGCAAACGAGGGGTCTACACAGACTTATCTCCTTCCCAGACATCCTACTCAGGTTTAGACTGAGGCCTGCCAGGACCTCACTGCTTGGAGCTACTCTCAGCCCATGGGAGGGTCAACAACAGCCTCAACTGCCTCCAGGGAGTAAGAACTGGAGGAGCGCCCTTCCATGTGAGCAGAGTCTTTCCATGGAAAGCCTTCTGGGCTGGGCTATGCATGCAAATGGCATTATTTCCCTGCAATCACCATCTCTCAAAGACAGTCGTGCACAAAGACACTCCTCCATTAACCCTTCTGGGGAGGTAAAGGGACTCCCTGGTGTCCCCAAACACCTGCCAATCAAGCACTTGGCAAAGGGGGGTGAGGCCCTGGAGAAAGGTGAAGGCCATGAGACTTCACGGAAGTCGTCTTGCCATGCTGAGCGTGTGTTTTCCGAGGGCAGAGATAGCTGTGCTCAGGAGCCTGGGTGTGGAGGTCTCCTGGCCAAACTGTCCCCCTGGGTCATGGCCCCACATCCCACTGCCCAGTTGTGCCACTGCCTCTGGCTGCAGACTTGTCTGGAAATGAGAAGACAGCTGCAAGATGGGGCATTGGAACCCTTTGGACCACACGTGGGTGACCCAGGGCCAGTCTCACTGTGCCCTCTTAAGGCCTGGGGGCTCATAGACAAGGGGCAACCCCAGTCTGAGGGCCTGGGTAAGTACACAAAAGTACCCGGCACTGCATGGCTCCCCGACTGCTGAGCATCAGTGCGCATCAGCCTAAAACGTGCCCATCACTCGGCCACTGGGCCCTCAGCTGGTCCAGCTGAGCCAGAGCTCGGCCGTGGCAGAGGACCGTCTACCCAGTCCCCGCTGAGCAGCAGCAGTGAGGGCACCCAGCATGTGGTAAGACTGGGGCAGTGCTGCTTGCTAAGGGCCGGGGCGGGGTGGGGACTGGGAAAGGCAGGGACCTGGGGGACAGGGGCCAGTCCTTACAGGTGGTCTCTTCGCCAGGACCTCAGTGGACGCTTGGTGAAAGAAATGAATGGGGCAGACTGAGGTGGGGAGAGCTGTTGGTTCTGAACTTAAGGGCTTTTAATTTAAACTCAGATCTTTACCCAACATTGATACCCCAGCAGCATGGCTCTGAAAGCTTTCAAGGGAGGAATGTCTTACCGGGCTTCTCCAGGGACCACACCAGCCCACATCACCCATGGTGGGGGTCCCTAGACTGCAGCCACTCAAGAAGAGCAGGGGAGGGGTACTGGTTCTTCAGGAGGCAGCAGGCTGATTGCCAGAGTCCTGGCTGTCATAAGGGCTTCATCCACCCACTGGGGCCCCCGCAGGTGTGGGTGGCGGAGCCCCCTGTGTACTGCCTGGGCACGTACCTTTCAGCATCTTCACAGCCACAGTCGTGTACCCTGCTTTGCCTTTCAGCCGAAAGGCTGTGGCCTTGACCACTTTTCCAAATTCACCTTCTCCCAGAGTTTTTCCAAGCACCAAGTTCTTCCGTGGGAATTCCCACTTGGGATCCTTCTACATTGGGTTTGAAGGAAAAAGAGAGGGAAGAGAGATGGCGAAGATAAGAAGAAAGGAAGAAGGCAAGAGCCGGCGGACAAGCTCCATGTGCAGATGGCTGACTGTCACCTGAAGTGACAGGTGACAGTCACCATGTCCAAGGGCAAGACCCCACAGTCAGGCCCTGAGGTGCCATGACAAGATGCATCCCCCACAGGAAGGCAGGTGTTGCCAGAGACTGGCTGGACTCCGTATGCTCATACCCTCACTGGCCTCCATCTACTGTAGATGCCCTGGGCCACCCCAGGCCCAGGGCCTGGTATCTCCAGTGAGGGAGTCAGGGTCTACTCAGCACCTACAGGTGCTCACAGGGGGACCATATCCTCTTCCCTGGGACTCAGGCCCAAGCCTCATGGCACCTCCTCTGCTTTGGACACCAGGCACTGACAGTGGCCCAGGCTCCAGGACTTCCAAGAGAACTCAAGTGGCACCTGTGGCCCCAGTTGCCTACCAGCCCTGGACTCCCAGCTACAGGTGGGGGTGTCAAGAACACCTTCCCAGTGTGGCAGCCTCTAGAAAGTTACCACTGTGCCCCTCAGGTACCCCCCGCCATCCCTCCCTGACAATGTGTGGAAGAGTCTGCTCCCTCCACAGCCCAGCCACTGGCCAGAACTTGCCCACACCGGCCTTCCCAACACACCATGCCCACTGAAGACCCCTCTGGGGTGGGGTCTTCCCAGACCCCAAGACTGGCTCGAAGACCTGAACTCTGGGGATACTGAAGCCTGCCTGGAACCTGCCCTCCCATCAGCACTGGATGCCCAGGTCCCCAAGTCTTGCTGTGGCTGGGTGTGGGCATGGCTCCAGGGGCTGCTTATGATGTGCCTGGCAGGCTCACCTAACCCACAGACACACACTGGTGACCCACTGCCTCCCCCAGGGACCAGAGCCCTGTGTTCTTACGTCTGGGAGCAGAGGCAGGCTCCTCTAAGCACCACAGCCAGGGGCGCCTTCCAGCCAGCTCCCCAGGTGTCCTGGTGTCTCAGCTTCCCCAAGAACCCATGTTGTTTGTTCTTTAAGTTGCAAAAGAATCAGTCGTGTCTGACTCCCATGGACTGTAGCCAGGCTCCTCTGTCCATGAGATTCTCCAGTCAAGAATACTGGAGTGGGTTGCCATTTCCTCCTCTACCAAGAACCCATAGTCAGGCTCAAAGGTGACAACACAGTCACCACCGCCCTGGTGTCCACACTGCACTGGATAACGGCTGACTGCACACAAAGACTGGGCTAAGAGGGGATATCTCTGGTTTGTTTCTCTTTAAAAGTGCTAAAACCCCAAAGAGTCCTCCCCACTTTATGTAAGACAGAACTAAGGCCAAAGGGTCAAATAATGTGTCTAAGACCTCAGAGCTGGTCAGTGTGGCCCTGGGCCTCCGGCCCAGCTCTGGCTTCTCTGCACTCTGGGCTAGAGGCTGAAACTGGTCCGTGGCCCCCCCACAGAAGAACCGCTCTCATTGCGTGTCTCAGCACAAATTGCCAGGGCATATAAGGGAATCAAATGGCTCGTCCCTGGGTCATGAGGGCCATTCCCAGATGTGGTGGCCACAGGGGCCTCCTTCCTGACTTTGCCGGTTCCAAACACTCAGCAGGTGGGAGGTCTCCAGCCCCCAGTCCCCATAGCATTTCAGTTTCCTCAGCAAAAACAATGGAGGGCAGACAGGTGTAGGAGCAGCCTGGTCGGGCAGGAGGTGGTGTCTGAGGCTCCCACACTAACTGCAGGCTCAGACCATCCCATGGAGGAGGAGGCTTGGGCTGATGCTCCCCTCTTGGCAGGCCAGTCACAGAGTCCTGGGGCTAGGCTCCCCTGCAGAAGGCCTCTCAGCAACCCCACCCTCCAAGCCACGGACAGAATCCCCTCCTGGCTGCGGCCAGGCCCCCCACCTGCCAGTCTCTCTCGCCTGGATGGGGACAGTGTTTCATCATGGGGCTCCTACCCAACAGACTCCCCAGTAGAGCGACCTGTGGAAATGAAGGCAGAACATCAGCCTTCAGCCCTAGGGTGGTCCTACCCTCTGAGAATAAAACCCACACACTCCTCCTCAGGGCCTCCCCTAAGGCTGCATCCTCCAGCACTTGGGGCCTCCGTAGGAGAGATCTTAGGCGGGTACAGCATGGCCTGCCCTCTCCTTGGAGCCTAATGGCCCAGATCTCAGTCATTTAAATCCACGCCCATCCTTTTCCACCCTGATTCATGCTCTCTGCCCCACCCCTGCCTTCTGCCCTCCCTGAAAGACAGCTCGGTGGAGGTTAGAAGACAGCTGGAAGCTCACGAGGTCCTCCTGGCAGGCAAGGATGCAACAACCCCAAGGGCCCTGCCCCTTCTGTGCCCCCCTCCTTCCCCAGCTGCCCTAGACCAGAGGCTACCCACAGGGCTACCTGGAAGGGCTGCCTCCCTGGCCCTGCTGCCACATGGAGAACCTCACCGGGATCTTGAAGGTGTCCACCGAGACCTGGTTCTCCATGGAGTCCAGAGAGGGCCGGTGGGCGCCAGACGAGGAGTAGCTGACCGGGAAAGCTTGGGCGGGCCGACGGAAGGTCATCTCAGCCGAGGCAATGGGCGGCTTGTGGGCATTCTTGTGGTAGCGGTGGATGCAGAAGGTGGACAGCAGCACAGATACGATGAAGGAGAAGAGCACGGCTGCCGTGATCACTGTGCGGCTGGAGTCATCACACAGGGCGTCTGCGGGCGAGAAGGGGCCGTGAGAGTAGACACCCCACAAGGGGGCCCCCAATACCCAACAGAGCCGCACCGGTGACAGCCAGGAAGTGGCTGCTGTGACCGACTGTGAGCTGCCTGCCAACCCTCCTGACCCACGGCAGGTACTGTTCTGTATGTTTTTGCTACAAGAGACTATTATTGCCCTTTTCTGGAAGGAATGAGCATTTATAAACATCCTGCCTGAGGTCACACACCAGAGGCTGTGCACCCCTGCACCTCTCCCACCCTGGAACGCTGCACTGAAGCCAGAGGCCCAGGGGCCCTGGGGGTGGGAGGAGAAGTTCTTCTCCTGCGTTCCTAATATCTTCTGTATTTTCTTTATGTTCAATATACAGTGCAGAGGAAAGCCAAGTGGCCCAGGATCTGGGCCATGCAATGACCACCCAAATACCAGAAAAGCTCCCCATGTGTTCAGTGGGGCCCTCCTGTTCTAGAAGAAGCACCTGGAGGGTGCTCGGAGGGGGGACCCAGCTGGCCAATGCCACGGGCCCAGGAAAGGCTCTACACAGGCACAGTCTGAGGAGATGCTGAGTTATTTGGTGGAAGAACTAGCTTTCCAGTCCAATCTTTATTACAGAACTTGAGGCCAGGGAATTCTTTGGTGGTCCAGCAGTTAGGACAAGGAGCTTTCACGGCTGTGGCCAAGATTCAATCCCTAGTTGGGCAACTAGATCCCATAAGCCTTGCAAAAAAAAAAAAAGGAACTTCAGGCCACAAGGCAGTCTTAGTAGCCTTGAGCCAGCTCCTTGTCTGCACACATGGGGGAACCAAGACCCCAGGGAAGGAGGAAGATCTCCTAGGTTTCTCTTCCTTCCTGCAATCTTCTCCCTCGCTCCCTGGAGGCTCAGGGAGGTGTGGGGATCCCGGCCAGCTGTGCCCCCCACCCCCCCACCCCCAATGCACCTTGGCTATCCTCCAGCTCGCAGAAGCACTTCTTCTCCTCAGGGAAGCAGTTGCAGATACCGAAGCCAGCTTTAATCCCCCGGCGCTCCCCAGGTTCGTGCCCACCAATGATGCTGCCGCCCCCTGAGGACAGACACCACCCACTCAGCAGCCCCCTCTCAGCCTCCGGGGGAACCTGGCCAGCCAGGACCACCAGACAGGATCATGGAGGCCCCTTCCCACCTGATGTCAGCACTTTCACGCCCAGGGAGCACAGTGAGATCGGAAGTCTAGGTCACCCCAGGCAAGAGCCTCAGCATGCATGCATGTGTGCTAAGTCGCTTCAGTCAGGTCGACTCTGCAACACTATGGACTGAAGACCACCAAGCTCCTCTGTCCATGAGACTCTCCAGGCAAAAATGCTGGAGTGGGTCGCCAGGCCCTTCTTCAGGGGATCTTCCCGATCCAGAGCTCAAACCCGCGCATCTCCTACATTGGCAGGTGGGTTTCTTTACCACTAGTGCCATCTGGGAAGACCCAGTTGCAGCATGATGAGCCCCCAAACCAGCTACCTGGCCGCATCAGGTGAGAGGAGAAACCCACAGGCTGCCCTGGGCCCAGGCCAAGGTCCACACTTGGTTACTTTTCAGAAGCAGAAAAGGGGCAGAGGGGGCAGCTGGCAGTCAGCCAAACGGGGGACAGGGAGTTGTGCCCCATGAGCTGGCTAGAGCAACACTGGAAGGGTGTGGGTCAAGCCAGCAAGCTCTAATTTGGGGGGAGGAGCATCTTTATTCAAAAAAAATGTTAGGAAAGGGCTCAGCACTCAAACCCCAGAAACTTGGCCGGTCTGGCTGAAGTTTAGGTGAGAGTCCAAGCCCCTTTAGCTTGTTACTCCCCCCACCCATTCAGGCTCCTGCTCGCTCAGAGTCATGGTGCAGGCTCATCAGGCTGCTTACGGAGGCAGTCCTGGGGGCAGATGTTGGGGTCTCTGCTCTCCACGGCATCACAGTGTCCATCGGGGCAGGTCCTGATGCTGGGGGAGCAGGTGGAGAAGTTCCTGGTTATCCCTACAACACAGAGTGGGCAGTTATGACCACAAGGGAGCAGCTGCCCTGTTCAGACTGCAGAGCCAGGAGGGTCACGCCCCAGGGCCTTCCAGGCCCTGTACCCCACACCCCATCCCCTGCAAGGAAGAGCAAACTGAGATCTGAGCAGAGAAGAACCACACACAGAGCCCCACCAGCAGGGCATCCCCGAGGTACAGGGCAGCCAGGATGGTGAGGGCCAGAGGAGCCAGGCAGGCCCAGAGCTGTGCCAGGCTCACATCAGAGAGGCCAGACCAGACCAGATGAGGCTGGGACCCTCTCCAGGCTGCACTGTGGGTGGGACCCTCAGATTGGTGGGCCCAGCTGGCAGCCAGTTACTGTCCACACCCAAGGCTGCTCAGGTCCCTCCTATTTGGGTCCACATCTCCTGGGCTGGGACCTCCTGGGTAGAGCCTCTCTGAAGACCATTTTGGATATTTTGAGTTATTTTAAGGTTTGTGTTTTCATGAAGTAAAGCCAACCATAAATGACGTTGTCAACAGTGTAGTCTACCTTAATTCCTCCACTTCTTGGATGCACAGTAATATTACCAAGAGATCTTCGAAAAGTGTCTGTGAACTATGTGTTTAAAAGCACTGGGTGAATGGGGGGAGGAGTGGGGAGAAGGGATAGTCAGGGAGTTTGGGATACACATGTAATACCCACTATATTTAAAATAAACAACAAGAACCTACTGTATAGCACATGGAACTCTGCTCAATATGCTATACAAACCTCAACAGAAAAAGAATTCGAAAAAGAATATATACATGTATATGTATAACTGAATCACTATGCTGTACACTGGAAACTGACACAACATTGTTCATCAACTATGCTCCAATATAACATAAAAAGTTAAAAAAAAANTTCCTCCATATAGTCTTTTTAATCTCTGTACTTTGCCCACTCAGTTCAGTTCAGTTCAGTCGCTCAGTCGTGTCCGACTCTCTGCGATCCCATGAATCGCAGCACGCCAGGCCTCCCTGTCCATCACCAACTCCCGGGGTTTACTCAAACTCATGTCCATCGAGTCGGTGATGCCATACTACTCATCTATTAATCAGATGAGCATTAATTAGCCTTCATTTGGGAATATAAATTAAAATATCAGCCTTTCTTTTTTAAGCAAACATATCTGAACTCATTATGTCCAGAGGAGTGGTATCCTTTCAAGTCATCACTTTCCATTTAGCTCATCATAAAATTACTGAGCACCTACTATGTGCAAGGCTCTGTGCCAGGTTCCAAGGACCCCAAAATAAAACTGAGTCATTCAGAGCCGATGATGTCCACAGCACCATTCAAATTCTTTTGGAATTGCCTTTTGGATCTGGCAGGAAGTAACACATTACAACCCATCTCACTTCTTTACAGGTAGCTTGTGTCTCCCACACTGGCAGGCAGATTCCTTACCACTGGGCCACCAGGGAAGCCCTGCCTAATGTACACCTGTTGATGAATTAACATATATAAAACATAATACAGCCATTTCTTCACAGTTATTCCATGAGACCCTGCATGGAATTGCCAGGTTGCCACACCCCATCCCTCCCCCCTCACCTACACTGACCTGGAGCTGTACTTCTTGAGGATGGTGTCCAAAAGGCCAACGAGCTCTTCGGCATTGATGAACTTCTGTGTGCTCAGAGTATACATCTTCTCATAGAAGTCTGCGATCTCTGTGCGAGCCTGGACGAAGAAGCAGAGCTGCTCTGACAGGTGCGAAAGGAGCTCCTCCACGTGGGGCGCGGTCCCCCCGAAGGCACCACGGCTGGTCACCACCTTCTTCAGCTCGTTGTGCAGGGACGTATAGATGGTGCGAATGGAATCCTTCCTGCTGAAGAAAGACTGGCCCCCTGGAAGGCAAACGGCAGAAGCAGGTAAGGAAGAGAAACCAGACCCACTAAATGCCTGCCAGCATCCAGAACCGTCTTCTCTGACTTCTACAATATTTTGTGATTCATAATTTCACTGGAGAGTAAGTTAAGTGGATGACTTGCACCCCTCATTTGTGTAGCGATGAACCTGTGTGTGATTTTCTTGTTGTCTTGTCGTTCAGCCGTCAAGTCGTGTTTGACTTTTGCAACCCCGAGGACTGGAGCCCATCAGGCTCCTCTGTCTATGGGAGTCTCCAGGCAAGAACGGGCTACCCTGGTGGTATTCCAGGCAAGAATACTGGCATGAGTTGCCATTTTCTTCTCCAGGGGATCTTCCCGACCCAGGTGGAATCTACCACTGAGTTTTCCTCACCCACATACCAATCCCTCTTCAATGAAGGATTCAGGTCTAATTCAGAGGATAGTTAATCTAGCAAGTGACATGAACCTGGTTCTAAAAAGCCCTCCTTCCACATTTAGGAATTTAAAATAAAAGAGAATACCCAATTATGAGACACTGTTGTTATTCCTGGTATACCAGAAAACTTCATTTTGGCTTTGGAGTTGTTGTTTTTTTTTTAAGCTATACTAGAAAATGGAAAACACAGCCTACTGGGATCCCAGGGGGGAAAAAGGAGATGTTAGTGTTCTTAGCAAGATTGACACTATAGGTTATATCACAATAAGCACCACATTGTGAATTATTAAGAGTAGGAAGCAATTATAAATAACTGCTGCTGTAACTCAGGGATTCCAAAGGAAATCAACAAGAAGTAAGGCCAAATACATTCTTTACAACAGTTGAAAAGGTTCAAATGGCATATACATCATTTCTTTACTTTTGTATGAATACATGAAAAACTATATTTCTGGGGCCAGTTTCATAGATGTTGTCTTAAGCAATTCTGTGCCCCAACAATGGATCAGAGGCAAGACATTAGGAGAACAAAAAGAAACAGGTGAGGTTTAAGACAGGAAGTCTTAGGAATGTTAAAAATCTCAGAGACAAGGGACAGTTTAAATTCTCTGCTGAAAACTCACAGAAAGCTTTAATGAATGAGTTAGCATTCTAAACATACCAGTTAGGAGGGAAAGTTACATATCAAGGCTTTTGTAAAATGTGCTCTTAATGAATGAAATATTTCGCAATTCATTGCCCAGTTTGTATTTCAAGTAGGAGGCTCAAGAAAGCCCACTGGTCAGTGACGGGGTATAGGACCGCACCCTTCTGCAGGAACAGCCTGAGGCTCTGCCACGCCCCGTCCACCCTGATCCTTTCCGCAGCCGGGCACTCACACATCCCTTCCACGGTAACGAGCAGCAGGGCCTGGGCTTGCTGGCGGGTTGGTTTCTCGGTGGCCACCACTGTGTACTGGAGCTGGGAACACTCGGGCTGTTGCAAGGCCTCCGTGTCATTCACGAACAGGGTCCCCGAGCTGTCCTCAGCCGAGGTGACCATCCCCAAGGCGCTGCAGTTGGCACTGGAGGGCTGCAGCCTGTACTGCACTTGGATGCCGCTGAACTCCTGGCAGTTTTCCACGCAGACTTTCCCGATCTAGGCATGGGATCAGGGAGCCCTTAGCCAGGTGAGTGGACCACCTGGGACACTGGCTGGAGGGGCTCCATGCCAGCTGAGTCCCAGGACAGTTTCCCACTCAGCCCAGAGATGGTGGCCCCCAATCTCCCCACCCTCCATGCCCCTGGAATCTGTAGACCCATCTGCCTGCCTGGCCTGGCCCTGCGCAGACCATGACACCACCCTTCATCCCTGTTCCTGGGAGCTGGAGGTGAAAAGAACACGGGGTGCCGGGCTTCGGTTTAGGGACTGGCCCTCCAGGGAGGCGCTTGCTGGCTTGCCTGGCCCACCCCTCACTTGCTCCCTCATTCAGGCACAGAGGCAGCCTGGGTGCCTCCCACACACCTCCCTCCCCTCTGGGCAGGGGCTGTCGTGCTCCGGGCACTACTCGGGCCCATCTTCAGTGTCCTGCCTGGGTCACCTGCCTGGTCAGCCAGAGCACAGCACCCAGGCCATAATTCACACAGCAGGGTTGCTGTCCCACCCAGGTCCCGGAGCCTCCTCCAAGACTTGGGCCGGAACCTCTGGGAGAGAAGGGGTACTTCCCTAGGGACGCCTCATGGCGCAGTGGTCACCGGGGCCTGGGACTCTCCTTTTCCCTCCCTCACCACCCAAGGTGGAGTTAGGGCTGCTGGGGCTTGAGATCAGAAGCTCTGACTAGTCAAGGTCGAGGGCTGCGGGCCTGGCGGCAGTGGCGGCACAGGGCCCCCTGCCTGCAGCCACAGGCCAGGCCCTTGCTCAGCCTTGCTCACACCCAGGGCAGAGTCAGGCTCCACCAAGCCCACTCCTCACACCACAACAAAACTACCTCCTAGGCTCGAGCACTTCCTTGTACAGAGCAGGTTCACTTCCACTTTCTCCTGTGATCCTCAAAATTGCCTGAGGTCACCACCTTCAATTTATAATCATGAATGCTAACGGGGGGCTGGTGAGAGACAGCAGTGTGTGTAAGGCTGGGCTGAGACTCGGGTCTCTGCACCTCCTGAGTCCAGGCACAGGGAAAGACTTAGTGGTCAGGGGTGGGAGGTGCTGCAGAGGCTGGCAGGGCCCGCCCTCCCAGACCCCACTCCCACTCAGCCCTCATCACCCTCCCCACTGCCTGGGTCTGCTGACACACCCCTGGCAAGGCCTATGCCCGCCTCAGCTCCCCTGGACACCCCTCAGGCCCCTCTGCTTCGTCACCTCTCACCACCCTTGCCCTCTGCCTCCAGGAAAAGGCCTGGCGGGGGTGGCAAGTGGGGAGCCTGGCTGTGTCCAAGGGTGGGGCTCTTCTTGTGCTGGGTCCTAAGTGGCTGCCAGGGGCGGAGGTGGCATGGGAACCAACCATAGAAACTGGCAAAGCCACTGTCCTAGTTAGGAGATAACCCTAAATGGAATATTCTAAAGGGCACATGGCCGTTATGTGCCATCTTCTATGCCATTAGAAGAATGCAGTATGTTAAGTCATGCTTGCCATAACTGCAAGTAAACTTTAAAAAGTGCTTCAGAGAAACATTCTAGAGAGAATTGCACCAAAACGTTAAACACTGGCTGATACGAGGAAAAGAGATCGCTCTTATCTATCCCTTATATCCTTTTGACAAATTCTTACTACTTCCCTTTTTTTTCTACTTCTAATCACTATTTTCTGATGACAAATGCAAAATAAGCTCTAGCAAACAGACTTGCAGGAAAGTAGGAAATAGAAGCACTTCCTGTCTTTCCTTGCAGAGGTCTCCACTAATGCCTGCGTTTGCACACTTGGGAATTTCCGGCAATGAAGACTTGGTTTTGAACATATGGAGCCACCTAAGACCAATACTTATGCAAACTACCTTTCCCACTTCATTCACCAGGAATGTCTTTCCAAGTCAGCACAGATTTACCTGGCACTGCTCTTTCATTAGTAAAAAATGTAAAAATGCTGAGAAGGGAGAGGGCAAAGAGGGGCCCACAAAGCCCACCAGCCCCACTCCTTTCTCCCACGGCCTTAGCCTCCTTGGCTTTGTGCCTGTTGCTCCCCAGGGCCACTGTGTGCTCAGGGAGGTGGTGTCCCCCATGTGACCCCACCCTGGGGGTCCCTGCTCCTCCATTCCCCTCCCTAGGCTGGCAAGAGGCCAGGAGCTCACCTGGGCAAAGCGGTGGGCCCGCCGACTCACTGAGAAGGAGTAGGCACTGGGCAGGCGCAGGCTGACGGGCAGCACGGACACATTGAAGTGGAGGAGGACGACACCCTCCCCCGGGCCCTGGAAGTCTGAGTCGTTGACCAGCACGGCCAGCTGCACAGCCCAGCTCTCCGAGATGGGGAGGCTCCGGTTGAGAACCAGCCCTGCAGGTGGAGGCATGTGATGATAGGTAGGGGCCCTGCCCAGGGTGGAGACCACTGCCCCACACTGGTGCACATCTCCCCTGCAAAGCATTCCCTGGACACATGGGCATACATGTGACAACGGGTACTTTTACCCGCACGGTACACAGACAACAGACCTGGCTGGAGGCACTAAGGTTGAACTATTTTAAATGTGAGTCACTGTGCTGAGCTGAGCCCAGAAGACCCTCCTCAGCTGGGAGGTAACCTCAGTGAGGTGTGTGTGTATGCGCATGTGTATGAGAAAGATGCATGTCGGGGCAAGCACACACAGGTAAAGACCCACCACCACCACCACCAGCAAGGTCCCAGAAAGACCGTCTTGGCCCCTGAGAACTTCTCGCAACAGTACCAGCCTGCTATGGACCCTCAGATTCCACAGGCCTCAAAGCACCCAGGAGCTTCCACACTCCTGAGCAGTCACCGTGTGCCAAGGCTAAGATCCCCATTTAGTGGAGTACAAAGGAGGCGAGGGTCTCTGGGTGCACACGGCATACACAGTGAGTGTGCAGGGGCAAGGGTGACATTTTCCCTTGCACAGAACAGAGGTCATCAGAGGCTTGGTGAGGGAAAAGACAGGAAATAGGATTAGGTCAGGCAGAAAGGAGTAAAGGCACCAGCGATCCTGGGTTCCCCAGAAGCAGGCCTCCAAACAAGGATCCAAGCACAAGTGGCATATTTGAAAGGTGATCCTACAAAACACAGGCAGGAGAGCAGGCGAGGGAGGTGGGGAGGTTTGGCAACTGATGAGGACACCCCATCCTGCAGGTGAGCCCTGGGGGCACGTGGTGCTTAGCCCTGAGGGTGGGCACATTTCAGAAGTCAGACAGGACAGTCATCCCAGAAGCCTCCAATTTGAGGGCACACAGCTGCTACTGGACATCAACTCCTGTTAGTGGAGAGTTGCTGGGGTGGGGGGGGTGGTGTCAAGGATCCCTGGGCACTTGGGCACCTAGGAGGTGGCACAGCTGGTGCCAGGGGCCAGAGGGAGACATGTGTTGCAGTGAGCCCTGGCGTGGTCAGCACAGGGTAGTGTGGTGGGGGTCCTGCCAGGGTCAGCCTTGGCCTTGGGGCAGTTCAGGGAGAAAGGACAGCCTGTAAACACCCACCAAGGTGGCCAAGGTGAGCCAAGCAGAGACAAAGGCTGGGAAGAGGGTTGGAAGGGGTGGCCACCTGGGGCTGAGAGGGCCAGGACAGGTGTCTACTTGTGCAGGGTGCTGCCCTGCCTAAGGAGAGCAGGTCACCAGTTCCCCAGAGGGCCCTGTCAGGCCACACTGGTCCCCTCTTACTGTAGTCATGCATGGTTGCCCGCACAAAGCTGCTGTTGGCCTGAGCCAAGGTCTCATTGGGCATGTGCTCCACTCGGAAGGTCCGGAGGGCCTTGGCATCCCCAGAGAGCAGCGTGTTCGTGTACCGTCTCAGGAGCTCCCCGGAGGCTGGCACCACGTCTGCATCGAAGACATGTAACATGGCTACCACTGTGCCCTGCAAAGAATACGGGGGCCAGTCAGGGCCCCGAAAGTCAGAGCCCATAGGAGGGCACGTGCCCCACAGGTGGATTAGGTGTTTGCAGTCAGAGCTGGCTCCAGGGACAGACTGACCAGGGTTCAAGCTGCAAGGGGCCCCCAGCCAGCCTGCTTGTCACCCTTCCTGGGCCACTGCACCTCACCTCTACAACAGGTGCAATGGCATCTCCAGACTTCCCATGATTATGGGTTAGAACAGATGCCCTGGTGCTCTGTGGAAGACCTCATTCAGGTCCCCACAGTGCAGAGTGGGCACCCCCACTCTCCTTCCAGGAAGCTGGGCCCCACACAGTGGAGAAGTTAGCTCAAAGTCATGCAGTGACAGATGACAGAGCTGGGACCTAAGCACAGTGTCCACCAGAATGCTCTCCTAAAGCTTCTTCTGTACCCCAGGCTAGATGGGGTCATGAGGGGGGTTCTGAGTAAAGTCACAGGTCATCTCTGCTCTCACTCCTGGCCAGGCTCCACAGTGTTACCATGGAGCTGCCCTGCCAGGCTCATGAGACATTTCCCTACTCCATGTGCTTTCATCTTGCCCGTCCATCCACCAAACCTGCTCCCTGGGTGTCCAGAGAAGCAGGCAACCACAACATATCCGACCCCGACCCTCCCCTTGCTCCCGCCAGCCTGCCGGCTGCAGGACAGCCCAGGGCCCAGCAAGTGGCAGTCACGCTCCGCCTGCACGGGCAAGAGGAAGGCGGGGCCCCGATGGGAGGGGCGGATCCACTGGCCGGTCTTCCTCCACTCTGGGGTAGCCTCCCTGCACTCACTGGCCCTCCCTTGAGGGGCTGGCAGCCCGAAGAAGGGAACGCCCTCCCGGCAGATGTCCTCTCCGTCTCCGTGGGGCAGTGCGCCCCGCCTGTGCAGTACCACAGCTGCACCCCTCTGATGTGAGCCCTGATGCTTGAGTCAGAGGCTGGGCACCCTTACCCTCAACCCCACCGGCATCCCAACCCCTCCCCTCACCCACTTCCCAGGGCAGGGGTCAGCTCGGTGCCAGCGGGGCTGGTCCTCTCTCCTCCTCAGCTGTCCTGGAAACAAACAAAACCTCAACAGACAGACTGATGTACAAATGAAAGACGAATAACTACAGTGATGGTCAGCCACGTGTCTGGATGGCTAGATGGACAGCTGAATAGACTGAGGAACAAATGATGAATGCAGAGACCCCGATGCCCAACAAAGAGATGACAGACACTAGACAAGCACCAGACAAACGCATAGGCACCTCCTTCCGCTTGAACTCCACCACCGCACTGGCACTGTCGACGCCCCCGAGGAAGGTGGGCGCAGAGTCGTCCTCGTCGTACACGGTCACAGGGAAGGGCACCATCACCTCCTCCTCGCGCATGCCCCTGCGAACTGTGCACGCAGCCACCAGCTCATACTTCTCCCGCTGCTCACGGTCCAGGGCCCAGCGCGTGCTCACCTCCAGGCTGTCCGGATCGCAGTGGAAAGGCAGACTCTCACCTGAGCACCAAACAGACCAGCAACCCCAGGATGACCCTGAGCTGAGGGGAGGGTGAGCTGCCTTCCTCAGGGCCCCACAGGGAGCAGTGCGCAAGAGGAGACAGAGCTGGGGTGCATGCTGGGCCTGGGCCGTGGCCCCTCTTCAGCTTCCACAGTGGAGCAAAGCCTCCAAGCACAGTTTTCAGTGAAGATTATGCTCTGAGCATCACTGTGCCTGCAGCCTGCACTGGTGCTGAGAGGGAAGGGCGGGGACCAGGAGGTCTGCCTCAGGTCCTCAACCCAAGCACCTAGGAGGGCACGCCCCTTCACACACCCTGCCTGCCTCCTCTGTGGCGAGGGCTGGCACCAGGGCTGGCACCTCCTCTGTGGTGAGTGCACCAGCTGGCACTCACGCTGCAGGCCCAGAGATCCAGCTCCTAGCATTTGCTGGTATTTGAAAAACTGTCAGGAATTTTCTTAACTGTGGAAGCAAGACATGCTCATTTTAGAGAATGTGAGAAAAAAGCCACAATTCCACCACTTGAAAACCAACACTGGGGACATCTGGTGTAGTTTCATGTTAACACACATATTTCTGACTGCCTGGTTTGGATCCCTGACCTATACACCCTGGAGGCTGCGTGGCCTGAGGCTGATGGTTCTGTCTCTGTTCTTCAGCTTCCTTGCCAGAAGATGAAGTGAAGTGAGAGTTGCTCAGTCATGTCTGACTCTTTGCGACCCCATGGACTATATATAGTTCATGGAATTCTCTAGGCCAGAATATTGGAGTGGGTAGCCATTCCCTTTTCCAAGGGGGTCTTCCCAACCCAGGGACTGAACCCAGGTCTCCCGCACTGCAGGTAGATTCTCTATCAGCTGAGCCACCAGGGATGCCCCGAAGATGAGATGCTGTGTGTGTTCATCGCCGGACACTACTGTAAGTTCAAGGACTCACTGCAGCCTGGTGAGGGGAGGACCAGTAATAACAACATACTCTTCAACCCAAGCCTGTCCTGGAATTCATCCTCCAGAAAGGACCCAGAAAGGGGGGAAAGCTGAACGCTTGAAGGTCAACAGTGACCACCCCATAGCCAACCTCAGGAGGGCTGTCAACTCCATTTGGTGGAAAATCACATCAGAGCCACATATTACATGTGAACTACACATTTCCCTATATTGCTTATAGTTACAAAAATGGCTCTTCTTTTTAAGCGAAAAAGGCAGCACACTAAACCATATGCTTTGGGGACAACTTTGTACAAAGACATCCATCCCTGTGGCAGGATAAATGAAGGGACGTGGGAGTGGGAGTGACTACTTTCCTTACACTACTGAGCGCTCCTTTAACATTATGACCATGTGTGGGTGCCATCCACCGAGTGGGAATCCAGGCTTCACTTACCAGCCGTCCAGCGTAGTAAGTGTCCCCTTTAAGTCCCCTTTAAACTGTCCAGTGGCACCTCACACACAGCGGCTCAGTTGCCTTCTCTTATCTCCACTCGTATCCAGTGCCCTTCCCCTACCCCATATCCATGTGGCTTCCCCAGGGCCATCGGGTGGTAGGACTATCTTGTGACAAGGTCCACTGTCCTTACAGTGGCTCAGGCGGAATCCTGGAACCATGCTTGGTCCCCTCGTGAATCTCTCAACACCCCA